TGACCCTGAGCCTGAAATACCTGATTCAGGGTTCTTACATGGCTCCGAGTTCCTCCTGCAAATAAATTTTAGCTGGGTCCATACCCACGAAGATATCCCTCCTTGCGACTCAAACACGTGATCAGGTTGATAGGGGTCTATAGATTACAAATATGGCCACCTCAGCCAATGGCACGCCCACCATTGCGATGTCTACTGTCTAGTCCCCCGCTGGACTCTCTCGTCTCCTTCTCTCGTTCTCTCACCTCGCCACCCAGTGTCTCTTGGACCGTTCATCTCCCAACCTCTCCAACTGCGCAAAAAAGTAGTGGTATTGTGAGGCCACAGACCTCACTTCCAGAGATTTCTTTGCCAAGCAACTCAACTAGCATCCATTGTTTCATATTTTTTCGCCATCATCGCAAGAGCCTTTAATGGTGTTTCATCTGAGGAGTTATGTGCCGACCAAATTTAGTGTTAAAAACCGCCCATTTTCTTGCTATTCAATAAAAGCATGCACGGAATAATATCCCAAGAGTGCGTGGAATTTTGCAAAACGGCAAGACACCCACGACCACATGAACATTTGTCAAGTGCCAGAGCGCTTGTTTGCAGAGAGTAAAAACATTCCTCAACTCTACAACGATGTCTGATCAACGAACGCTCATTTAAATGTTTGGTAATGTCGTTGCACTAATAAGGTTAATAGAATATTTTATTAACAGGCCAACGTTTCCAACAGATAACTTCCTTCAGAAACCCACTGTACCACCAGGTCGAATTTTTAGCTTAATTTTGGAGATGAAAAAGTAAAAAAAATCATCACAAAAAGAGGGAATAGAGGATCACGTTCTATTATTGCTATAGTAGCTCCTCACTAGACACGAGAATGCCAAATAAGAATCCTTGGATTGGTTGTTTACCACTCTTCACATGCAAAACATGTATACCTTACTCGCATGTCTTTCGATGTTGATAGAATATTGATCACCATGTGACTTCTTTTTTGGTTCCGTGTTTGAAATAATTACCTGCCGGCGGAAGCAAGATCCCATGACGGGAGCGCTTCTGGGCAATTGCATTTCAGATGTGGGCACGCGCCAGTGTGAAATAAGCAAATCAAGTCGCCCGACGCCGTAAGACACGACCAACCAGTGATGTTCTCTCACTTACGCGAGTTTTCCACGACAACACCCTGGGAAGACTTCCTGCTTTACACTGTAAATTTCTCAGAAAATTTCGCAGAAAAAAAAAACAGTGGGAATGTGTTTGATTTTGAGAACCCTCAACCTTATTATAACTGAGGGTCGGTGAGGTTTGACCTACCTGCAAAACTAGTAAAAAGCGCTTGAGAAGCCGTGCACATTAGGGCAGGCCACATCTGCAAATAATCTAATGAGCTCTGTTTAAACGACTTCCAGCGCACTTCCTATTAATTTTGAAATAAACGATGGTACCTAAGGATACATTATTTACGTTTCTTCGACTAAAGGATCGTATCTAACTGGGCAACATGGTTAGCAATGAAATGCCCACTTTACTAGGCAACATTTTTATCAGTGAAAACTGCTAATCCTCCAGGAAATTGGTCGACGAACTACTTGAATCCAGCCCTTTAAAGCCTCTGTGCCTCTGGGTCAGGCTTCCTTTTCCTCGTCTGGACTTCGGTGCTCTCTCAGCGGGTCCTTCTCCTCCAAGGTGTAGCCGCTATGACATTCATCCGTTCTGTTAAATCGTCTATGCTCTACCCATCGGCGGCCGGGATCATTGAAGAAATCAAGAAGTACCGGTAAAACCCAGGAATTATAACATTTTCTGGACGCAGTAAACAGGAAGACAAGTTCTTCTACACGAAAACTGGGCAGGGACTCTCAATTTTCTTACACCCCATAATCAAAGAGAGACTATATAAGGAATAAATTTGTTTTCCAAAAGTACGGAAGTTATTAGCTAATCCAAATCAACGTTAGGGGCAAAGCTTCTCCCCAAAGCGAACTTAAGCGCAACGTCAAATTGGTTTTCTGGCTAAACACTTTCACGAACTAATTACTAAAAAATGCGAGAAAGAACTTTCGCTTACCAGAAAAAAAAACGATTCATCACTTCAGTTCTCATCTCTTCGATGAGCTTCTGTGGCAAACGGAAATACAAAGTTTCACCCTTACTGAATGATTTCTTTCTTAACTAATTGATAGATCATCAAACTCAGGTCTGAAAATACCTCCTGAGAATCGCTTTGGCAATACAAAATTTTCATATTTTCCTGCTTCCGTGCACAACATGCCTACATTCCCAGGAAAAACCTCATCGCTGCTGCGTGCCAATCTGAGGAATAACAGCTGCTTATATTTCATCTCGTATGCAGCCAATCAATCCAGCAGTAAAAAGCCTATACTGATTCCCTGACGGCATAATATGCCTAGTGTAATTCCCTGACATTGCTCGACTTGTTGCCATAGGTTACGAATGAATAAGTTAGACATGTCGCTAGCTTTCAGGGGTGCTACCAAAAAATCATGAATAAAACTGCTTTTCTCGTCTGTTCCACTTCCACCGGTGCATGGTTCCAGTTTGAGCCAGGAGCACTCGAGGACATCATATTCATCGACATGATCGATTGAGGTGCAAGCTGCGGCGCGATAGAGTCGCGTCACTATTGGAAAGATTTTTGCCGATTATCAACGTCGATATAACAACTCACTTTCGACTCTGAAAGTAAATAATTGGGGCACGAGAAATCGATTTCCACTCGAGAATTGCGATTAAAGACGAGATGAGAGCTGCACGTGAAAAAAAGGAATCGCACGACAGAACGGCTCCATGTTAGATTAAACACTAATTCATCATGGCATTATATTTATTCCGCAAACCGGACCTGTCGCAGCCAAAAAGGGCGTATTTGTACAGTATGCTTGAAAAAAATGTGCTGAGGCGCTATCGCAAGATACGGGGGCATTCTCAAAGTCTAAGTCTAGGAGGAAGCAGGAACATCGGGGAAGAAGAAAATTGCTCAGCACTCTGGACTCTCTCCACCCCTCCCTAAGGCTTAGCCCCCATACAAGAAGGGGTGTTGTACGCGGCTTCAAATGTATTGCCAAAACAACGCCCCCGTATCTTACGATAGCGTTCACAGCTTAAACTTCACACAAACCCATTCGTTCAGGTTTTTATGTCATTTAGAACTGCACGTATGCAAAGGGGACAAGTGGAGCGTGCATCGATAGCTATAAATAGTGCCATGTCGCTGGCAGATAAGCTTCAGCTTCCGAGACGTGAGAACCAAACAAAAGACACCGGGAAGAAGGCGTTGCAGCATTCCCTTTTGCAGGACATGGTAGATTTACATGGAGCCTCTTATACCATTTTATAAGACCATTCCATAGCCATACGAATGATTACTTTATATGATTAGCGAGAAAAAGAATTCAATTTTAAGGCTAAGCGAAACGACATGGTCGTAAATGTGCTGCAATCGTGGTTTGTATGGAGTTTTACAAATTACCTACTAAATGGCCTAGAACCAAAGTTAACAGGAGTCTGCTCTGCATGAACTTTGAAGATAATTCAAACAGAAAAGAAGCAGAAATTCTCAAAGTCGTTCACGGAAATGATGATGAAATCAAAGAAACGTTGAATTTCAGTAAATTTCTCAAATGAGCAACAGTGGAACAAAAAAGGAAAGGGGGTCTATTCCAGTTAGGGGGGGGCATGATGCAGTTTCTCGGCGAGCTAATGTAAACTCGAACATTCCAGCTTCTCACGCATGTCAAGTGACTGCCCTCACCCCCACCCCCCTAGGCTGGCTACACTCCCCCTGGCTCAGAGTTACCGTAGCTTTTTGGGAGTCACCGCACCATGATGCCCCCCTAACTGGAATAGACCCAAGGAAAGTATTTTTTTACGAATCTACATAACAGAAAACACAAAGTGAAAGGGAATATGCCTGCATAATCCTGAAGCTGAACTTTCCGTGAATCTGACGCAAACTGACGCGCTGGCCCCTCCAGAGGCACATTGCGCCCAAAATGAATAAACACTGAGAATCTACGGGTGACGTAAGCATAAAACAAAGAGATGCGCGATACCAATCGAACGTCAACAACACACCGTCAACATCATCAACGGCAGAACGGTAACGCCGATGAGGAACTTCAAACAATCATTCTAATAC